TATATATATAGGTCATTCACCAAAACAGTCTATTTTGAATGTCAACTACAACCACCCAAAGACACCAATCGTATTTATTTTGGTACAATTGCAAAGAAATAATGTTGAGGAATCTCTGATAAGCTTGAAAAACTGTTAGAAGTTCATGTTGTAAGATAAGAAACAGTCATAGGGAAAAAAGAGGTGCTTTTCTGAGTGAAAAAAAGTAACAAGGAAATGGTGCAGGTAATGGGTTTGGTCTTCAAGCAACAAAACTGTTTGTTTCTTGTATAAAGAGGCATCTTTCTATTAGCAATGAGCAGGACTTTGGAACAGTGTATGCAAAAAACACACACTTTCCCGGTATGAGGCCGCTGAGCTCATTGTTTAGTTGTGAGGATTGTTACATGGGTTCGTCCGTTTTGAACAGGAAAAACATGTCCTCTAAAAGTCATAATCGGGAGGGTTCAGTTTTTTCCATTTTAAGGGAAACTGATGCTGAACCATTCCTGCACGGCTTAGTTAGAGAACAATTTTAGGATAGAGTCTAATTTTTTTTTCAAGCCGTTTTGAAAATGAAGCCGATTTTCGTCCAAATGTAACATTCCCGACGTCCTTCGTCTCTCCTAGTGCATTTCATTTTTTTTCGCCGATACGCTTTCCAATGCCATGCTCAGAAGCCGATCTATCGCTTTCAGAGGTTGAATCTTTCCTTTCATGAAGGCGGCATCCAGGGGACAAGACACTTTGTGTTCGTCCTCAATTTTAGACAATGAAACAATCCTCACGATGTTCGCATAAAAGTTAACTTCCTCAGGTTTTTGAGGCAACTGGAAAACATGTAGGCCTACATGGATGGGTGGTTACATTCATGTACAAAGCTACAAAATCAGTATTAGGAGAAAAGTGAAAACTCTTGATTTCAGTCTGGCATAGCTGTGGGGAAGAAAATGAAATTCATGTTATGTAACATTCCTCACATTTTGTGTAGAAATCTCTTTTCAAACACCTCAGTTGTGAACTGCTGGCAACTCTCAATGTTGTTCCTTCTATTTAAAGCCTTTTTTCAACAGTGTTGATATTTTTGGAATTTGTTTTAGTCAAAGTTTACCGAATTTTTCTCAATAATTCTGTCCTGTAACATTCCTCACATTTGATGTCATTTCAGTTGAGACCCGCGCTGATTTCTATGATTTTTTTCAAGTGGTTCGAGTTTTTTTTAATCAGTAAAACACATTCACATGAGCTGTTGACTTTATATTTGTCTGAATCTGTGGTCATTGTTATTTTTTGTTAATGCATGTAACATTCCTCACAGTCCAGGGTATTGCGCTTTCATGGCATGCTGTGCTAGACCTGATTATCAAAGAGGTCTGGTATTTTCAGGAACAAACAATAAGACCTTGCTTGTGACAACTTGCCACAATGCATTCATTGGAAACAAATTTGAAATTTGAACCTAGATGTTACTAAATGATATACAGTATTGGTGGAATGACCCATATATA